CATTGTAATCGTGCACCATTACTATCATTCAGGCAGTTTTCCTCAACATTAGTGTTCAAGTGATGCTTTGTAAAATTCTGAGGCTCAAGAGAAAAGTAATGAAAGTGTTCAGAGCAATATGAGCAAGTGTATAATCTCTAAACAGTACAAGCTGAGACTTCTGAAGTTTATGCTCTTCATTTACCCCCATCACAAGACCACTCCAGTTCTCCAAAGTACTTTTCCAAACTTTCATTCTTTTTTGCCCAGCTTTATTATCTAGGTCTCCTTGCCTCGGAAGATGCTTTCAGCATCCAAATGGACAACAGCTCTGTCCTTACAGATTTGGAATCTGAATTGGGAAGCTGTAACTCAATTTAAAAGATAAGAAAAGTTATCTTTCTAGTAAACAAAAGCCAGTCAACCAAGCAGCAGGTCACATTTACTCAGTTCAATACCAGCTTAAGGCCATTTTTGACAGAATGAGTCTACTAATAACTCATTTATCCATGAAGCAACAGTGCCAAAATGATAGAAAGATAATGTGCAAGGCCATGCTCTAATACTAAGACTTTATACCAATAAAGTTTCTTCCATTCACTTTCTCTTTCTCCTTCCTCCTGTACGCTTTCCTATTGCCGCTCTCAAACTGGGGTTTTCAAAACTATGTTTAAAAAAATGTTTTAGCGATCCCAAGAGTGACACTGCACTGCGACACGTCAAGCTGAGCTAACTGTCATGCCACATTACATGATATAACATAACAGAGTTTGATAGGCAAACCTGATATGACACCACAACTTGAAAAGATTCACTTTTCTTCAAACATGAGCTAGCATCACGCTTTCTGCAAGACATGCATGTAAATACTTTGTTATCTGGCTTGTTTTAGCTGAAGATTTAGCCCTTGAACTTTGAGAGATGGCTTGAGATGATTAAGGTCAGACATACCTGCAGTGATTGCCTTGTATTGTTTTGACAATAACTTCACTGAAGAAAGAATCGAGCTACTGCCATTCTGAAAACCAACCTGCTTTTTACAGAAATGCAAAGATTGCTTCAGAAGCACTTGCAATATACAGCCTTACTGATTACTAGAACTGGACAAAAATGGCTTTCCTAATTCTGAAGAAAACTCAAAATGAAAAATTTTGAGAAATAGTTCTGACATTTCCATGGACAAGTGTTGCTCCTTCACAGTAAAAAATAGTTGTCCGATTTCTGAAAGCAATATTAAGGTTTTTTCCAAGAGAGCCAAGCATCATCTATGGAGATATTCATGGTGGTTTAATTTCAGATTTCCATCAATAGTTAGCCACAGTAATTAGGCTAACAGCAATATTCCTGAAGGATAATTTCCATGATAACCATACCAACACATCAAGGCAAATTGTCCTTACAGTAGCTACATTTATTTGAATGGAAATACATGCAGAATGAACTGATCCAGTTTATCCAAAATCCCAGATATGGGACAATATGGAGGAAGGGCTTTTAACCTATTCTTATAGTTGTTCATAGATAATAGTTCCACAAACTACTCCTTTGTTAAGGAGCAGTCTGAAATTTATACCTAAAGAAGTTATTATATGCTGCAAATGGATTCTGTTTAATTGGTCTATGGGGATTTCTTATTTCTTCTCCCAATTTCTGTGTTTAATATGAATTATCTACCTTTCATCTCTGCAAATCACACATGAGATTTTAACAATCATTTTTTCTTTCCTCTTCATCTCCAGTAATCAATGCTATTACTTTAACTTAGCTGGTAATTTTGTTAATGAGCCATGAACCATGATACAGTGAGTCAACAAAGCGTGACAGATCCCTGCTTGGTCCACAAGCTAAATAATCTGAATTTATCTCACGGTAACTTATACAATACTATCGAGTATTTAAGACCATTTATTACCACATAGTGCACAACACATTATTCTCTTAATTCTGCAACAGGTTCTTATGAGCCTTACTCCACAGGTGATATACTGCCTATTTAAGCTTGCACCAAAGGAGAATATATCTTTGGTAACAAGCCAGATGTTCGTGAAATAGAGCAACGTTGGTAACTCTCCCCCCAATTCTAACCAAGGGAGACTGTGCTAAATTAGGGCAAGTCAAGAGCATCACCAAATCTAGAGCTGTCTCATGAATCTGTAGACACAGCCTTGACCAAATGCATGTTTCAGGTTTTGTTTAGACTATTTTATACCTACCTGCAGGCGGGTTTCTTTGGATTTGGGCTCCGTTTTTTGAAACACAGGATTGGTTTTATTCTATTCATGTATATATAAAAACAATGTCCAAAATCAGTTGTATTATGTTTTGAAAAGAAATCATTTCACAGCCAGTATTCAAAGGAAATGATCTTAGAGGATTCGGTTTTTTGTTTTTTTTTTTTCCAAAAGCAACTGTCAACTTGCATACTGCTATCCTTGAGTCGTAACAATTTATGACAATAATAAAAGTGTTTAAGTCAGCCTTACTTGTAGGCTGCAGCATAGGCTAGATAGTATGCAATTTAAATTCAGGGTAGTGACACATTAATAGTTATTCTGTAATGATCCTACCTATTAATCATGAACCTAAATAGTGTCCCTGCTGTCTGTATTTATTTCTCTCAGGACAGATGAAGTAAGAGAAATCAGTCTCGGCACCAGAGAGCTAGGAATGCGCATGGTCTCATTCAGTTTGGGTTCATCTGCATTTCTGCTATGTGCTACGGGGAATTACTCTGTCAGCAGATTAACAGTACAAATTGTGCAGAAAGGGCTGCTGACAGCAGCGCTGTGCTTGGCAGCTTCACATCCGGCTCCTCTCCACTAGTGCTGCGGGCAACCAACTGAGGAAAATGGTATTTCCCACCTGGACCTTGGAAACTGTCAGGACAGCCGAGGTTTGTTTGGAGGTCCTCAACTAACACCGCTCAGCGAGCATATTTGGGAATAAAACGTTTGGAGAATAAGCTGAATCGCACTCTGCGCTCACCAGATACGGCACTATGCACTGCGCTTGGCCCACCTGCGAATTAACATCTAACAGCTAGCTCAGTGAAACACGGGCATTCGCCAGGAAAAAGCCAGCAGAGACGCACCAAGCTGGGTAACTGTGCAGGAATGGCAGGACCATGCCCCAAAACTTCTCTCAGATGGAAATACTGACAGCATTTCAAGCCGGTTTTTATAAGGACAATCTGTGTAACCGATTCCCTTTAACACGCAAGAAATCTGAGGCTGGCCAGGATCAGAGCACGAGTGCTGGGGGACGGGAGCGGCGACAATCTGCACGCGTAACACAACACTGGGTGCGTCGGCTGCGTTGCTCCATGGGTCACATGCCACACAGTGACTCGTGCTCAGAGTCATCCCCTTATCAGCTAGTGCCCTACAAGCACCACCTTACCTAACACTGAAATTTTACCTAATTAAGCAACCTACATATTATAAGTACTCATATTTTATTCAATTCCTCAGCGCCCTCCCTGGTCACCTGGTGCTGTACAAAGTTACTATAATCAGAGTTATTGTATCCTAGCAGAATAGCTATTTCGGGATCATTTGTAATGCCCGAAGAGGTGTATTTCTGCATAACCAGGGGTATCTTTTAGATGCTTAATTAACTCATAAGAGTTACTTTTCAGACCATCTAGTGGGTTTTGGAGGAAATTCAGTGCCGCAAAATTATCCAGAGCACCACTAACAACATTATTTCCAGTTTAGGCAGGGAATCCCTGGGCAGACAGGTGGCTGCTGCCTCGACGTAAGGAGGGCACAGCGATCCTTGGCAACAGCTTACACGAAAGAGCTGCCTTCCCTCGCTGCCCAGCCAAACCCCAAGGCTGACCAGGTAGCAGAAATCTCACGTGAAGCCACAGCCTCGCCCCCCTCCAGTGACGGCCCCATCTCCCACAGGGCGTACCTCTGCAATACTTCCCTTGGTGCCCAAGGCGTTTATCTGTGTTCACCCTATTTTTTAGCTGGCAGCAGCCCCTGACCTGCAGGGCGCTCGGCCTTTCATCTGCACGCCCCAGGGGCAGGCTTTGGAGGCACAGGAGGGATTATGCTGTTTTCAGTGCCACGCGTCCTGCTGGGGGAAAGAGGGCAGGCCAAAAGGAAACGCAGAAAGAAAGGTGAGAAGGAGGTGCGCAGCAGCTCCGGGAGTCCCCACCTGCAAAAACACACCACGAGGAGCAGAGAGGGGACGAGCAACGAGGAAGGTGGAGGTTCCCAGAGGAGAAGGAGCCCCCAGCACTTGTAGAGACAGAAAACCCCATTTCCTATAGTGGGGCTGCCTGGTTCGCGGGGATGCCCAACCACCGGCCACGCTCCTTTCTCCTCCGAGCCAAAGCAGAGGAGAACAAGGAGATTTATATTCCGGCCCTTATTTCTGCCCCTAAGTGAAGTGGAGGTGCCTCCCTTCTCCAGGAGGTTTTATTCCCTCCTGGCAACCCACTGCGAGTGGAGCAGCTCAGGAAGGAAGCTGTGGGGGCTTCTCATCGTGACTCCAAATACATCGACGCTGGCAATTTTCTGTCTTTAACTGCCTAGAACTGTTGATATTAGTATAACGATCTTGTTTATATATTTATGAACCATTAATAAAGCATTAAATGCTAATTATATTCCCTTTCTTTTTCTTCCATTAGAGCTGTTCCCCTTGTTGGCCTTTATTGACAGGACTATTTTCAACCCACCAGCACATTCAAAATAACTATTTCATAAAGGATGTCGTCTAAATCATTTAGAACTAACAAACGCTCTTAGCTATGCTAGCAAACAGCATCCCTCTGTTCAAATGATATAAAAGGACTCATTAATCTAGGATATACAGCACAATAATATTAAACAGCAGAAAACGGCACGGTGCGGGTCAGAAAAGACGCTAGTTACAGGATTAACAAGGACCAACCAAGAAGCTCGTTATCTCGTAATATTAAGTATTTATACATTTAACTAGAGCTGTTGGACCTTCTAGCCTTTAACTGTTTTCTAGATATGTATTTTTAAAACTTCCAAAATGCTTACCCCAGCCTCCTGCTTTCAGAAAAAAGTGTCACAGCAGCAACGTTTGTTAAAAGAGGACGATGCTTCAGCACGTTCCCCGCAGCAGCTCCCTCGCGCCTCTCCGCAGAGCGGGGCGCCCCCAGGAACGGCAAGACTGCGGAGTAGGAAAAAAAGGCATTTTTCTTGACTCCAGAGACTCTGTGCTGACCAAGGCGCCTAAAGAAGTCCCTAACCCTTGCTGGCAGTCATGAAACAAAACTTTGCCTTAATAGAGCCAAAGAGACGCTATAACCCACTTTGGCTCCCGGTTTCTCTAAAATGACGAAAATACTGACAACACTTCAAGCTGGCTTCTGTAAGGACAGTATGCGTAACAATTTTAATATGGAAGAAAGCGAAGGAGAAAAAATTACGGCATATTCGCTTCCATTTTTACAGGAAAAGCTAATACAATTATTTGAGATATATTATTATAAAATATATTTTCTTTCAAGAAAAACAGGAAGCCAAGATTATCTTTTCCATAAACCCAAATGTGAACTGAGATGCAAACTACATAATGACTTCACGGTTCAACTGCGTACCCAGAGCTCTTCAACAAACTTCAAAACCTGTACGGTTACAGCTTTAATTTATTCGAGGAGCTCTTGGAAGTGCCAGTCTACTTCATGGTCTGTCGGTGCTTTTCACAGGACCCCCAGTTTCCAAAGGGTTATAACTCAGTTGTTTGAAACCATATCAAGCACAAGACTTCACACTTGCACTGTCAGCTAAAAAATAATCCACATTCCTCCACATTAACTCACTGCAAATTGGCTACATATGTTTTCACTGTAAATCTCCACAAACACATAGACAAGGATTGCTTCTCTGAAAAAGTTTTCTGCTTTTGTGTGCTCTGCTTCTTTTTATACTAAAAAAAAAGAAATCACAACACTTAAAAAGCATGTGTGACACCTCTTGAACATAGGCCCAAGCAAACATGTAGCTATTGTAATGAACCCTTTTAGGCAGCACTCCAGTCATAGTGGGCAGTGCTTATTCTAATAAAAGTGGAAAAAAGCAATTTAATATATGTAAAGAGCTTCAGGTGCTCTTCGGTTCAAGCACTACATTTTGCTCTCAGATGGCCACAGTTTAGCAGCTGGGCTCCCACGTTTTCCAAGAGCTAAAACTTAGTTTTATTTCATATCTGGGAGCTCTTTTTAAGTCCTGTGCTAGATGATATCTTTTTTTATAGTTTGTTCCAACTACATATTACATTTGCTGAAAGAAGGTGGCAGGCAGAGAGCGAGAGACCTAACGAAGGTGGCCTCCAACAAACACAGAGACACAGAGGGGCAAGGATGAGTCATGCCCTGGGAGGGCTGAAAAGCAGCACACTATTTTTATTATTTCTATTTATTTTTTTAAAACACAGAGGGTCTGCACAGGGTGTGCTGAAGCCCAGAAGCCTCTGAAAATGGCTTCTGTGAGCACACAGGACAGGATATAGTGGCAGGACTGCTTATAAAGCTGCTTGTTTTAATTGGAGGGCTTCTCTATTTTAAAAACTCGTTTTTGTCATTAGCATTAACTAAGCTTGCTATCATAAATGCTAAGTTCTTTCACTGTGCCTGGTAGGCTCACTTAGAGGGAAACGTTCAGGCAGATCCACCCAGAGACAGGTTGCTTTTGCGTTGCCTATCAGAAGCTAAAGTTGCATTTTCTTCTCCCTAAAATACGTTATCCTGGAGCATAACTGGGAAAAAAAAAATCTGAAATTTCATAATTACTTGAATTAGGACATCTTGTAAACATAGCCTTAAATCTCATTGGCAGTAATGAGGCTTATACATCCCCTGTACTGGGATGCTTTGCTTGCAGGAAACGCACTGTTTCTAGTACAGCCTCGAGGAGAACGGGAGCAGGCGATGACTGCAAGTGTCACGGTCCAAAGAAAGGACCCCGGAAGGCTGGCGGTGACACCAGAGGCATCTCCTCTGGTGATCCACCAGAGGCTGCAGGAATAGTGCCTTATTTGCTCCATGACTTCGTGAGAATATTGCTGGAAAAAGTGACAAAAAACAAGGTTGTCACACACGTCGCTGAACGCCAAACACCACAATAATTCTCAGTAAGAGCCAAGGTCTGAACTAGCAGCTTGCAACAGAGAGGTTGGGTGGGCCAGGGCAAGGGCGAGCCATCCGGTCATGGATAGGTTTGCAGGAGGCAGAGAAGGTTAGCTGGAAGGCAAAATTCCTAAGCAATAGATCTATTTCTGCCTCCAAGGCTTTTTTTAAATGAAAATGTAAATCTCTGATTGACAAGATGCTTTGCACTGGTTAAAAATGAAAGCCTTTTTCCATCCCCAAACACATCATTTTCTGCTCATATAGAGCCCATCTTTAATTACCAGCTGCTGCAAATGATCTTCTTACGATCATTAACTGTCAAATCCTGAAACAGCATCTCTTATTGCCCTCAGTGTTCAAATACTCCACCTGTTTCTAATTAGTCAAACTACCAAAAAGCCTACCTACAGTGAGGCTATTCAGATCATATACTACAGCTGCTAAATGCCTCAGTTCCTACAACGTCAGTAACCGTATTTTTTTTATTATTATTAAATGGTATCAACTAGCCCTACTACAACTGTGATTGAAGTAAGAGACATTAAAAGCAAAGCAATTTTAATGAGATAACAGCACAGCCATTGCTAATGATGATTACTTGTATTATCATTGCAATCATTTTTAATGAATGCTCACTAGCAAACTCTCCACTAGCTCAACTTGCCTCAGTTAGTCTCATCAAAATAATAAGCAGGATTTAATAAATTACTATAACCTCACTAAACAATTTTATTTATTGCTCTATCATTAGGATTATTTATTGCAGCTGCTAAGGTACAAGGATTTTGACCTACCACAACAATTTCCAGCCTTTGATACCACTTTTCATTTAAAAGTCTCTCTTATCCATTCTTTTGGGTCTATATGCATTTTCTTCCTTCACCCATAAAATGCCTCTGCTATCCCCTGCTATAAATAATGTTTTTGGTTTGCTAATGGCTCATAACATCAGTTAAGTGGAAGCTGAAGGCATCGCATGCCTCGAGCCTTTTGAGCGGATCGGGTCTGATCTGATCCCAGGCAGCGCTATGGTTCAGGCCTCTTCACGTTTCCTTGCAAACAAACATAACAGACACATCCAGTTTCAAAACTCTGATCCACAGATGTCAGCATCTCACCTAGACAAGTATTTAACAATGAAGTAAACTGGAGCTAGAGGCTTTGGCAATATGGAAACTCCTTTCGCTATGCCTAAAAAGCTTCCGCAATCTCTAGGTAACAAAAGTAGAGGATATAACCCTTTTTTACTCAAGTAATAGCACAGACTTTTATTCATATCAAAAACCCACACTGATTTAGTTTCCCTTTTATCATATGTAAAACAGAAAAAATGCTTCTAGAAAAGCCCCTGAAGGCAGGCTATAAACAACCAAATTTCAGTTGAAATACCTTGACGGCAAGTCAAACTTGTTAGAATGAGCCTTGCTACAGTGGTACAAGTCACAGTTATTTCAAGTTCATCAAAAGACGGTAGAATTGTGATATATAAAAACCGCAGGAAGCTCAGAATCTGGTGCGAATCCGGTGCTTTAATTTGGATATAGGCATTAATAATATTAGTAATAGCTCCAGAAAAGCAGCAAATGACTCATATGAAAACATCACACACAAAAGTCTACATATCTGACTTTGTGTCGCCATATTTTAAGCTTTTAAAATTTCTCCCAAATGAACAGAATTTCACAATGAATTGTTTAACACGTAGATTACTCAGCACTGAAACATAAAACATTTCACACCTTTCAGAGCCGTTGATTGCAGACACCAAGACAAAAATTGCGCAAATGAAACAAGCTAATGTCCTGGTGAACTGTGCATCTACAGCATGTTTAATTTAGAACGAAATTTGTATCCAGCAAAGCATAGAAACTGTAACTTTTAGTCCTATACATAATTTATAACAACCTTAAGGCATTTGCAACATCTGAAATTAAATAGGAAACAAAATTATTCCCTGAAGGTGTGGCAGTTGATGTAAGAAATGCATTTAAAAATAAGCACACAAATAGTTCGTACCATTATTGCGCATATTACTCAGCAGATCTCATTACAGGTCCCTTGCCGCGTTTCGCAAGATATCGCCACGAGCCCCCTGAGCGCAACGCCTCCAGCACGCTCCTGGCCACGCCGCGGAGAGGCGTGCTCAGCACGGCGCATTGCTTCTCCTGACGTAAGTCCATAAAAAACACACTAGGGCTTTACGACTGCTGAAGGCTGGGTTAAAGTATTTTTTAAAAGCACTGAAGCTAAATCTGCTCCAACTGTAGAGTAAAAATGGACATCTGCCCTCTCTGCTGAGCCCTGCCTTGCATAATCCCCACAGACTTTTAGGAAATACTTGCTAATACTCTCAAGCTCCACACTGCAATAAGAAAATCGTTTCCCCTTGCAAAAACAGGGGGGGGGGGGGAAAAAAAAAATCAAAGTTAACAAGGACCACATGACTTGAGGTTTTTTTAATTAATGGCAAGAACAAAGATGAGCTTCACTCACAGTTTTCCCAGTGCTTCAAGCGAGCTTCATTTCCAGCTTTCCAGTTTCCCCAAACCTGCCCAGCGCAGGGAGGTTTTCACGCTGGCACTTCTCAGTTCAGCAGATGCCCCCGCGTTGGCAGAGCTGCCGTCAGGCGCGCAGCAGCTACCTGCAGAGAGGGTCTCAGCCGCGGCTTCGCTTCCAGGGACGTGCACAAGTCACCGCTCTGGGCTAGAAAACACTGTCGTCCCACAAAAGTGACAAAAGGGAGGTTAACAAGTCAAAAAATTCATGTTAGTGTTTTTCTCACCCCCCCCCCATTAGAAGTTATTTCATAAATACAAGTATCTGAGCATTTCATCTAGTTTTCTTAATAACTCAGCTTTTTTGCATACTGCATTTTTAAATGAAACTTTTAAGAAGTTGGCATTAATAAAAATATGGAAGAATAGTTCAATTGCTTATACAAAAATAAATATTTAGTATGACATTAAACTGATTCTAGGATTTATAAGATTTTATTTTGCACCTGCTGAAAACTCACCTATGAGCCTTACTTAACTACGCAAGACTCTGCATTTTGAAGTCCTGGAAAGCCAATCAGGACTCTCCATTTTGCCCTGTAAAAGTCAGCATTACCGGCTGCTGTAGTTTCTCAAACTGTAGCACCATCTTTCACACATTCTCATTTTTGGAAACGGAAGATAAAAAGATCAAGAGCAGGAGTTATTAAGTGACACTAACGTAACATTATCAAGGACCTAAAGCAGCCCAATTTTTTTTTTTTTTTAAGTCACAAATAGCACTACTTGTGCAAAGTTTTGCTGTAAGCTGTCAGAATTCAAGTTATCGGCACTGAAACTCATTTACTTAGTCACTGCAGAAGGTTTAACACAGGAAGGGACAGACGATCTCAGTAACAGAACGTTCTACCAGCCCCACAATTTATCAGTCTTCACTTTTTAATCTCACCAAACTGGCATTTTACTATTTTGTATAACTAAAAAGTTATCAGACAAAGCCATCAAGAATGACGTGTATAGCGCACATTTTATAGCAATTTTGCTTTATACACCGTTCAACATTTGATTGAAATTCATTTAAAAAACATAAAACAAAATGGATCGTGAGGGCTTAATAGCACAGCATTTATTTAAATGCCATACTGTCAAGGAAAAATTACCTGTAACTGCAGATAATCTTCATGAAATCAATGCAATAGTTCATGAGTTCACCCCATATATTTAATTATTACAGGAAAATATTTGTCCTATTCCCAGAAACAAATTTTGATCCTTTTGAGAGCTTACATTGACACAGAAAAATTAAATGCAATTGTTATTGTCATAAAATATCAGTGTGAAATGAATCACATCATAATTAACTATCAATGACATATAGGGGGATTTATTAAAGTAGAACCAAATTTCAAGGCCATGGAGTGGGGGTTTTTTTGTAATACCATGGACATTAGATTTACACCTGCTCTATATTACACGCACAGTTATTTAACAGCCATGTTCTCTGGAAGAATTTCATTTCTGGAATGCTGGAATATAAGCCATTAATCACATTAACTATAGAAACAACTAAAAAAAGTCAACACTGTCGTACTGACATTCTGTGGTGTTGGAAGAAAAGGGAAAGCATTTATGATATTTGCTACTAAATTAGCAAGCACTGACTTTTTTCACAACAATCACAGTGCAAGCAATAAATGTATTCAATTATTTAAGAAGCTTTCTAATCAAACTGTGTATCTGCGGATAAAGCCGCGACTCCCGCAATGCTGGGGGGAGGGATGGGTGCCGCGCTTGGCCAGGGCTGGGCGCCTGGCACTAATCTCCGCGGCTTTGCTCACTGAGATCCCATCCACACCACCGTCCTGCTTCCACTAATCTCCTATCAGCCTGTGGCCAGGAGGTGAATCCTGGGGATTAAGCCCTGTATGTACCCCGCATAGGACAGGTGTCCCAAATTTCACCCCCAACACACCTAGTGCAGGTGTCAAGGGACGGTCATGCAATGCAGAGCCCTTTTACATGAATTTTTTAAATCCAACCCATGTCAAAGGCAAGCTTGCGTCACCCGTGGCAGAAAAATCAGCCTCTGATAGGAGAAAGGTCTCTGCGCTCTGGAAGCGGCATTTAAAGATTTCTTTATTAAGGGGTTCACCCTCTCCCAGAGTCTCAATTTGTTTTCTCTTGATTGTTTTCTAACTTTTTCAATTATCTTGGGAGGCTTCAATTTGTTTTCCAAGTCAGACATTAATTTAAAACCATACTTTTAGCAACGCTACTTGTTTCTTTGTGAAGGTCTTTTTAATGGCATAAACATCTGCATAGCCCAGCAATCCTGCCTCCCTGATACCTTGAGAGCCATCTCTGACATTATAAAGGGCTGTTTCAAGAGCATTTATTAATTCAAAAGATTCTGGATCACAGAATCGTTTAGGTTGGATGGGACCTCTGGAGGTCATCTAGTCCAACCTCCCTGCTCAAGCAGGGTCACCTAGAGCATATTTCCCAGGATCACATCCAGACGGGTTTTGAATATCTCCAGGGACGGAGACTCCACTATCTCATTATGAGTTAGTTACCTGGAAAGCATCCGACTAACCATATACTTAAAAGTCTGCCTACAAATTTGCCCAACTTCAGCGTCTTTTTCCTCAGTCCTACTTTTTCCTTTCTTACACATACATATCAAAAATATATACATCAGAAACTCCCAGACATAATGTAAGTAATTTAAGTAATGGTAATTAGCAGTAATGTTATTATACTGAATACAGTAATATAGGTTATCAATGAGTGCTATAAAGTATGCTCTTGTGATTCCTTCAAGGATAAAAAAAATCCTTTTTCTACATCTGTGTCCTATGAAATCCTACACTGCTGAACTCTGATATTAATTGATAACAGCCAGGCAATTCGCTTTCTATAGCTGTAATAACTATTCGCCAATGGTTTTGTTACTGGGCAAAGATTTGCTGGTGAGAGCAGAAAGAGGGGACAAACTGCTCTTAGCCCTTCTCCAAAGCGCTTCTGGTGCTGCTTTCCTCACCCCTCCGTTTTCTATACCTAGCTAAGTAGTAGATAGGTCCTAACATCCCACCTGTGCTTGTTAAAAAAAAATACATATTTACATACACACACACACACATATATATATATATATATAAATTCCTAATTTCTAAAGAATAAAACCAGTAGGAGAATTAGCAACCTGACCCATCTGGAAAGTGGCACTCCTGGCCGCCGACTTCTGCATGCCTTCACAAGTAAGTTTACAAAAAAGCATCAAGGCAGCACAGAAACCAGACTGTTTTCCAAGGATTTGCTTTTCCACTCATCTCAGCAAAGAGGCTCGGCAGTCCTGCAGCTGGAAAAAACCTTGAAGAAGGCAGTATCACTTTTCCTCTGCTGGCGCTTTTGAAACTATAACCAGGAGCTTTCAAAAATTGCCTCAGCCCTCTTTACAACGAAGACAGGTGCACCCCGTAACAGCACAGAGTAATAGTGAATATGACACTTCGATTTTCCATTCTGCCTGAGCCTCATCTGAATTTCCAAAACATTTAGACTTTCCACATGTAGCTCCCAACATAACTGAAGATTGTTGCAAGCAACACCAAATATCAGTCTATCTTGCGGGCAGTGAGAATTAGCAGTGCCGTTGTGAGGAGCTATTGCTAAATCTGGTGACCGCTCCAGAGGTGCTCATGCCTCATCCCCACGGCCTCGCGCAGGAAGAGTCCCTGCAGCAGCAATATCGTGTCGACCTGGAAATTGGCCTATCACCTTTTTACCGCTTTTTTGAAAAAAGCCATTTGTTTCCATAAAAACGACTGGAAAAAGACTAAAACTAACACAAACGCTTTTCCAGTCTTGCCAAGTACAGCTCAGGTTTGGTGAGGATTTCATGGCTGTCAAAAGGTCCCCGCAGATACTGTACAACGCCACTGGAAAAGTCAGTAACTATGAAATACTTTGCCCCAAAAATTTATCTCTGAACTATCGCTGTGGTTTCTAAACATAGAGCTTTGCATGCTTCTCTGCTTCTGTGTCTGAAAAACTTCTGTGTTCAGGCACTCATGGCAGAGTTGGTTTTAAGCAATCCACTTTGCCTTTCCACACCAATCTTTGGGTAAAATCTGGTATTTCACATGGGGGATAGGGGGAAGAAAAGAAGGCAGGCTGCTATTCCCAACACCATAGTCTGCCTTAACAAATAGAAAAAAAAGATTCACAGAAAAGTGGTAACAGTGCAATAGTTTTTCTTGACCTTGTATACATACCTTAGCTGATGCAGCCGTATAGGGCAGTATTTCATTGAACGATTAGGTTGTTTCTGACCTGTTACAGATTGTCCCCAGATTTCACACACCATTCTTGAAAATTATCGTGGATAAAAAAAGTCAGGGCAGTCTGAATGGCGTTAGCGCAGCCCGTGGCCAGAAATGCTTGATGAAATAATTCATAAATAACTCAGTTATTAATTATAACGGCACCTTCATAAGACCTATCATTTATAGCACTAAGTTTTATAGCACTCGTGGTTTATCGATGGGTGCTGCTGCCTCGGCCGTTCCCCAGGATGAAAACGCA